TTGCAGTGTGGCCATCCCCCGCTGGGGATGATTTCTTGCTTTCTATCTTTCTGTCTCTCTGGTGAGCACGTGTGCCCTATAACAAAAACAAACAAACAAACAAAACAAAACAAAATCTCTCTCTCAAAAAAAAAAAAAAAAGAAATTACTTAACTTGTAAAAATGGAAAATTTCAAGTACCAAAAAGTTAATTACCACAAACAAGAAGGGACTTTAGAAAGTTCATGAAAAGTGGCATTAAAGTAGATTTTGAAAGTTTATTTGGTTCTTCCATGAGAGAGACACAGAGAGAGAAACAGAGAGAAACAGAGAGGCCAGCAGCCCAGCAGGGCCCCCATGCCACAGTCCACCCCCAGCCTCAGCCAGCACCCCCCCACACACACACACACACAGGAACTCACGCACATGCCCAGAGTGCTCAGGGTGGTTCAGCGGCATCACTACTGTACCACTACCAGACCCCAGAATGAGTTTTTTTCTGGTAAAATTCTATAAATTCATGCATAGTTTTTCAGAATGTGCACTTCCTGAGCTGCTTGAAAATCCCTCTCACACTACAAAAATAAATGCAAGAAAACAATGTTTTTCCTTCTAATTAGATATGCATTATTGTCAAGCGCCTTGGAGGCTGAGACATGTTCTCTCCTTGTTACAAAGGGAAAATGGTGGGACCAGGTGGGATGTAGTGGGAACGCAACTGAATTCACATGGCAAGTTCCCAGGTCTTCATACCAGGACCTCCCCGAGCAACTATGACCTGGGCCTGCTGAGACTGGGGCAGATTGCAGGGCGAGGACCCTATCAGGGGTTTCCTCTTCCCCTTCACCCTGTAAAATGGAAGAAATAAATACATAAGCTTAAAAAAAGTACATAAATAAATAGGGAAAACAGTAAATATGAAGAGCTGTTAAAGACACATCAGCACCAAGCTGAGATTTCATTCTTTTTTTTTTTTTTCTTTTTGGAGAGGTTTTCGCTATAGGGCGAGTGCGCTAGCCAGACAGACAGAGAGAGACAGAGAGACAGAAAGTGAGAAATCACTCCCCGGGGGGATGGTCACGCCGCAATCCCTTCTCCTCCATTCTCCTCTTGGGATCTTGGGCACACACGCACACGTGCCCGGCATGAGTTTTAAGCCACTGGGTCCAGGACGTGAACCGCGGTCGACTACGTGGGAGTCCAGCTACATAGCCATTATGCTAACTGCTGGTTCCCGAGATTTCATTCTTGAACCATCAGAAAAGGATGGAGAAAACTACAAGAGTAATCTCTTACTCTTTTTTTTTTCTTCAGAGAGATTTTGCCATAGAGTGTGTGCTCGCTGGAGAGACAGAGAGAGAGAGAGAGAGATAGGAAGTGAGGAATCACCACTCAGAGGGATGGCCATGCTGCAATCCCTTCTCCTCTATCCTCCTCTTAGGATTTTGGGCACACACTTATACACATGCCAGCATGAGTTTCAAGCTGTTGGGTGCAGGACTTGAACCATGGTTGACCATGGGGGAGTCCAATGCCTTAACCACTATGCCACCTGCTGGCCCCAGTTTCTCACTCTTGAGTCCCGTTATTGATTGTCGTGTTCCTATACCAGCCCAGCTCATGTTGCATCTTGGTAACACTGGTGGAACAAATTACTGGCTTTGGGAAATAGAGCCACAGTCTTTTTGATCAAAATAAATAAATAAACCTTGCCTAGGAGCCCAATGTGTAAAACAAACTAGAAAATAAAATGTCTTTAAAAACAAAACAAAAACCTACCACGGTCACTCAGTACTGTGTGGTGAGAGCCTCAGAGCTCCACCTATTCAGCCTTTCATTCTCTGTCTCTGGATGACCCTGAGGGGCCCTCTGTATATTCTCAAGGTTCTTTAGAATACACTCAGAACAGTGGACTGGACCAGGCCAGTGATTGCTAGTCCTGACTGCATCGAATTGCCTGGAGAATTTTTAGAAATTCAGATTCCTGGGCCTCAAACTAGACTTATCAAAGCTGCTTCTCTAAGTAAGGCCTAAGGATTTGCATTTTGTAATTCTCCCAGGTAATTTTCCAAAGACCTGGAAATGTAGAAATCCCTGGGGTAAATGACTTCTAAAACACCACCTTTTGACCTCTATGGATACCAATTAGGGAAATTTTATGGTATCCCAATATTTACATATGGAGTTTTTTTATTCTTACCATCTGATTAATACTTAATCACTATTTCTTTGTTTGTTTGTTTGTTTTTGGAGAGATTTTCACTGTAGGGCGCGTGCGCTCGCCAGACGGACAGAGTGAGACAGAGAAACAGAAAGCGAGAAATCACCCCCCGGGGGGATGGTCACGCCGCAATCCCTTCTCCTCCATTCTCCTCTCGGGATCTTGGGCACGCACGCACACGCGCCCGGCATGAGTTTTAAGCCACCGGGTCTGGGACGCGAACCACGGTCAACTATGTGGGAGTCCAGCAACATAGCCATTATGCTAACTGCTGGTTCCCTAATCACTATTTCTTAACACCTTTATTCATTCATTCATTGGCTTCTCCAACAGGGCCATGGGTTTCCCTAATACAATCCTTTTCAGACTCTCCCCTG